AGAAGAAGAAGAAGAAGAAGAAGAAGAAGAAGAAGAAGAAGAAGAAGTTGTTAATTATCCCTTCTGTGGTTCTAAGTTAATTAATATATGGGAGTTCCTTCTATTTAAACATGAAATTTTAACTTCTAAAATCTCTCAAAAGCCTTCCTTTACTTGATTAGGGTTTTAGGTCATTCTACAAATGCAACTCAACCCCTGAACTTCTTGGTTTGCTTCCTTAAATCAGGATACAGAAATTACTTATTAACTTGGTGCTGGCATGATTATCACTCAGCTGGAAAATGAGTATATGCAGAAGAAATATTTGTCTCTTGTACTTACTGAAGCGTTGTTGCATATACTGTTACTACCAAGGCTAAGGAATGAATTAGGTAATGCAGAATAAAAAGTGAAGCAAAAGTTTAGCGAGCAGAAAGACAAAATATCCGAATAACACAGTACAAATTTAACCTACAGAATGAAATATCCCAGAGACCAATTGCTTTTGGGACATGAATATTTTAAGCAGAAGTTTCTTCAGCACGTTGCCATTAACCAAAGTTTACCTTATACAATTATCCTTTATTTCTTACATTGATTATTTCCCCCCACAGCCTAATAATATTATTATTTGTGTCAAGGGCAAGCAAGCAAACAGGGCCAGCCATAAACAGCTAGAATAAGCATCTTTATTGTCTCTACTTATGTTATAAAAATCTCTCCAGACTCTCTTTCTCTGGAAACACCCCCGGTAAGGCTTCATGGATCTTGGGGAAGATAAAACGTGGCTGTGCCATGATTCCAAGCTGGGCCCCCATTTGACCCCTCATTCCAGCCTAGCTGGCAGTTGCCCAACAATTGGGTGGGCAAACAATAACAGACCCCCCCCCCCCAAAAAAAAGTCTGGTTAGTAGACATTGCAGACAGAGGTGGTATTCAGCAGGTTCTGACCAGTTCTGGAGAACTGGTAGTGGAAATTTTGAGTAGTTCGGAGAACCGGCAAATACCACCTCTGACTGGAGATTTTACAGTATCCTTCCCCTGCCACGCCCACCAAGCCATGCCCATAGAACTGGTAGTAAAAAAAATTGAATCCCACCACTGATTGCAGAACCTGGAGAAAAGCAGAAGAGAAAAAAATTGAGAAAAAATCACAAAATACAAAGACCTTCAAACAGAAGTAGAACAACTGTGGCAATAGAAAACAAAGATAGTATCAATAGTACTGTATATACTCGAGTATAAGCCTAGTTTTTCAGCCCATTTTTTGTGCTGAAAAAATCCCTCTCGGCTTATACTCGAGTCAGATTCCCCTCTGAAAAAAAAAATGGTGTGGAGTCGCGGCCTCCGGCGGCAGCGACTCCCAACAGCCCCAGCCGGGAAGGGAAAGGCAAAAAGCGCTTTGCCTTTCCCTTCCCGAGGCGGCGGGACTGGGGCCGCGCCGGCAGTAGTGACTCCTGACTCAGGGGGCCTCCGAGGGAGGGGAAGAGAGTGACTCCTGCCTCCCGCTGTCATCATCATCTTCTTCTTTTGGGTTAGTGAATCAATTAAACCTTTCATGATAGTGAGATCGTTTCCCAAATTAATTATTTTTATTTTTGAAATTTACCAGTAGCTGCTGCATTTCCCACCCTCGGCTTATACTCGAGTCAATAAGTTTTCCCAGTTTTTTGTGTAAAATGAGGTGCCTCGGCTTACATTCGGGTCGACTTATACTCGAGTATATACGGTAATCAGGCGTATTATCCTAAAACAACTGGAGCACTACTTGAACACCATTGGCATTAATAAAATCAGTCAATTGCAAAAGGCAACTTTACTTAGAACGCCTTACACTCTGCAATGATACTTTTCACATTATTAAACAACAATACTGGCCTATCCCAGATCCTTGGGGAGGACTTGATAGGTGGACAAAAATGCCAAATCCAGTCTAAACATCTGGCTGACTATATGACCAACCATAATAATAATTCACACTAATTGGATCCACACATATGTTACACCAATTCATTACAACATCCTAATTTCTTGGGAAGAATTTGATGTTTTTGAAGGCCAATATCAATTGCAAGACCTGGCGGTTGTCATTTCACATGTTTGAATAAAGAGCAGAAGAGAGAGAACTGGAGAAAAATAAAAAGACCTGAAAATAGAAGTAGAACGACTGTGGCAAAGACTGTACCAATAGTAACAGGTGCCTTGGGTGCAATCCCAAACAATCTGGGGCACCATTTGAGTGCCATCAGCATTAACAAAACGATTATCAATCAATTGGAAAAAGCAGTTTTACTTGGAACATCTTACATCCTGCAGGCCATACCTTTCACACCACCAAAAAACATCTGCCTATCCCAGGATCCTAAGAAAGACTCAACAGGTGGATAAAAATGCCAAATCCAGTCTCACCATCTGGCTGACAATGCAGCAAGCCACAATAATACAAATATATATTTAAAAAATTAATCACACTGGGCCAGGGGTGTCAAACTCAATTTCATTGAGGCCCACATCAGGGTTGTGTTTGACCTCGGGGGGCCGGGGGGCCATGGCTGGGGTGAGTGTGACTGGGGTGGGCATGGCCAGCTTGATGTCACTCGTGTCATGGGGCACCTGTGGTGGCCTGGGCGGGGCTCAGTGGATCTTCCTGTAGCCCTCTGCTAGCAAAAATGGAGCCCGGGAGGGCCGTTTATGGCCATAACGGCCTCCTGCAGCCCGAGCTCTGTTTTCGCTGGCAGAGGCACTGTGGGCTGGTCCTTTGCTATTTCCAGAGTGGCCTCGCAGGCCAGATCTAAGAACCCCGTGGGCCGGATCCAGGCCGAGGGCCTTGAGTTTGACACCCCTTGTCTGGGCATATAACTTTAGTCTGTTGCAGAAAAAGAATCTTTGCATGTTCAGATTTTCTCCACTTTACACACATGCAAAAATCCACGATTCAGCACTGAAACCTGACAGTTTAAAAAAAGGAGTGATATGTTAAGTTATGATGGTTAAGGGCCTGTTTCCTCAGATTTGTAGAAAAAGGGAGGATATTAGACTGAAAAGATAATTATGCCCCTCCAATCACAGTACAAAAATGCTTAGTAATCATTTTATGCCATGTTTTTTAACCCAGATTTTGCCCTCAGCATCACATTTGAGGCAATTTAAACCCTTCTTTAGGTTAAAGTTGTGTTTTTCCTCTTTTCCCAGCAGGATTTTAGCTTTGGACATGATCTATCATTGCTTTGCTTGTGATGTGGTGGATGATGAAGTCAAAGATTTGAGATCTGCCCTCAGTAGTTATTTTGGCTTTGGCTGCAGGAGTTTCCACAATGGCTTTTGACAGTGGACTGACCAAATGCTTGTCAGATCTTACATAGTCTCCTTATGGAAGTAGGTTTAACGCTTCTCTGGAAAAGTGCTAAGACAGCATTTCAAATATGCATTTAGTGTTCTTTTGAAAAAAAATAGTAAACTTCTGCTTGGGGAAAAAAAGGATTGGTTGTAGAGAAAATGCTAGTCCTATGCTTCAAGAAGGATTTAAACTGAGAAAGAGCACCAGGTTCTGCCAGCTATATATTGCTGGTTCTGTCATCAGTGAGTGCAATACAGGTAATCCTTGACTTACAACCATAATTGAACCCAAAATTTCTGTTGCTAAATGAGACAGTTGTTAAGTGAATTTTACGACCTTTCTTGCCACATTTGTTAAGTGAATCACTGCAGCTGTTAAATGAATCTGGCTTCCTCATTGACTTTGCTTGTCATAAGACCACAAAAGGTGATCACATGACTCTTCTCCCACCACTGCCTTGGCTACAGCTCTTCCTCCTGTCTCCCAAGTTATTCTCACAGCCCATTACACTAAGGTAGAGCAGACCTGCCTGTTGGGGCTTTGCATTTTAGAGTAATATACTTAATATTATTAACCTATTATGCTAATATATCCACATGGATTGCCCAAATCAGTAATATTATGTTAATATATCCACATGGATTGCCCAAATCAGTCATGCAAGCTAAATAAATAAATATTTTAAAACATCCACCACATTTTGGACCTCATTAGCTATATTCGATAATATATCTGAATTGTATAAAGGTGGAGAAAGATGCTTTGTTAAGAAAGAGCCTCAATTTAACATGAAAAATGAACTGTAAGAAAACCTTTACATCATACAATTAGATATGTACATTTTTATCTGCCTTCTAATTTAACATAGTCCTCTTCCTCTCCTCCTCCCCTCCAGAAAATTGCCTTTAAAAAACCTACAGTGAGCCAAGGGATTACATCTAATATTTTATGTATACATGTATAACTAA